TTATGTGGATCCTGAGAAACTTAACAGAAGACCATGGGGGAGCACAAGGGAAAAAAAACAGTTAGAGAGGGAGGGAGCCAAGCCATAAGAGACTCTTAAAAACTGAGAATAAACTGAGGGTTCATGGGTGGTGGGATGGAGAGGAAAGTGGGTGATGGGCATTGAAGAGGGCATCTGTTGGGAGGAGCACTGGGTGTTGTATGGAAAACAATTTGACAATAAATTTCCTATTAAAAATGAAGAAAAAATGATTAAAGGAAGTGGTTAATGTGGTTAAATCTAAATAGACATTGACTGCATAAATAGTTTAATTATAACAATATAATTCATTTGAGGATTAAGACACAGGTTGAACTAAAATACAAAACAATTAATATGTAATTTATGTGAGGGAAGGACAAGAGTTCTGAAGTTATTATATTGTTTTAGGGGAAAAGTGAAGGTACTGATTTTAGATTGTGTTGATCATGTATATTAAAATGTTAAGAGTAATCTCTAAAAGAATGAAACTGATTATATATCTTAAATATAGATGTAAAAACTCAGGAGCACAATTGCAAAGAAGAGAGAAACAGAAAAATAAACTAAGCATAAAGAGCACAAAATAAGTGACTAGAAATAAGGTCAAACAATTCAGTCATTACAATAAAAGTAAATGTGCCAAAATTACCATTCAAAAGGCATATATTTTCAGTTTGTATTAAAAACAACAAAAGCCAAGTATATGCTGTTTACAAGAGACATTAAACAAAAATAGAGAAGTTGAATGTAATAGAGTAAATAAAGATTAAATTGGCAAATACTAAGCAGAAAACAATTATATAGCTGTATTAATCTTACACAAAATACACTTTTAAGCAAGGAATATTATTAGGGAAATATTATTATTAATAATAAAACATGCAATTTGGTCAAAAGATATAATTACTTTAAATTTGTATGCCTCCAATAATATAGCCTTCAAAATATGTAAAGGAAAATAAAGGCAAACTCAGACTGACTTTAGAATGTCATTTCAAAGGATGAGGATAAAAATGTGAAATGTGGTTTGTAACATATGATGTCTGTTGTTTTACCTTCGCTGGTGTTCTGCTTTTCTGATAACTGTTCCCAGGAATTTATTTCAGAAATGGAGTATGACTAATAAATAATTTCCAGTGTGGAACTGGCTAAATGGAGTCTGGGTTGAAAGCAATAAGGACCCACCTGATATGGGAATAGGGAATTGATGGTCTGGTTCATGTGGTGGCAAAGAATTTAGTTAAACTATTAGCCATTGTTCCTTGGGTCTTCAACCCACTTCCCAGAGTGACCGGAGCTTTAGGCAACTTGGCAATAATATGTCAGGAGTATGTTGAACTATATGAAGTGTCTTTAGTGAAAATAAACTAAAGACAACATGTAGGATAAAGTGAGCCCTCCTGAAAGCAGATGGAAAAGAAGCAGGCAAGAGCCAGAATATCATGTGCCTTGTGGGATGACAGCTGCTACAAAATATGCTTTACTCTGCTTCTAAAGCTGTCCAGGAGACTGTGGAATTCTGGTAGTTGGAATGAAGATACTGGCAGGTGTTCTAGGATTCAGGCAGCCCCTCCAACCCTTACCTCTCCCTTGGGATAGCGGTAGCGATATTTATCTTGGTCCCGTAGTGCAAATTCCTCAGGGTAGTGTTCCTGGATTTCTTCATAGGTCATCTCCTCACAGACACCCTGGAAAAAATTATTTGGGAACAAATTCACAAGGTGAAACCCACAAGCCTTTACCATAGTTCTGAGGCCAACGATTGTGAAACAACAGCACACAATAACCTGGGTTTCTGTAAACACAGATCTAAGTTTGTGCCTGTTGTCTGAGTGTGTGTGTGTGTGTGCGCGCGCACGAAGTGTGTGGATGTGAGACTGTGTGCATATGTACAGATGTGTTCATGGTTGAGCATATAGTATATGGTAGGTACCTGTGGTATTTCTTTGTGGTTGTCCCAATAGGTTTGTATATGTACATTGTATAAGTATTTTTTTGTAAATATATGGGTTTAAGGATTTGTAACTATATTTGTGTGTGTATGTGTAGCATGCTGGTATGTTTAAGGACCTATGTCTTGTGTTTGTGTATTTGTCTCAGTATTTTTAGTGTGTTTGTGAGTGTGTGTGTGTGTGTGTGTGTGTGTGTGTGTGTACAGAGTGTCTGAGCATCTGAGAATGTGCTCGTGTGAGTGTCTCTATGGTCTGTCTCTCCATTTTGGTCTCACTGTGTCTGTGGCATGTGTTTCTGTGAGTGTGTATGTCTCTGATTATGTCTCTGGTGTCTATGTGTGAGTATCTGTGTGCTTATGTTGGAGGTCATGTGAATTTGTGGTAATACACTTGAGGTTATGCATCTGTACTACATACATTTCCAACCATAGTATGCTTCTCCGTGTCTATGTGATATAGGTATCTTTGTATACAAAGACTGCATGTATGTCTATGGTGAGTTTGTCTATATGTATCTCTAGGTGTCTCTATCTGTGAGTGTGTATGTGTGTGCATGCATGGTGTGGGTGTAGATTGGTAAATGTGTCTGAGAGGGATTCTATGTCTCACTAGAAGATCAATGTGTCTGTGAAGTGCATGTCTGTGAGTGTAAGCATATTTATGGTGGGTGTAAGCATATTCGTGGTGGGTGTCTATGACTGTGTATGCAAGCACACACATGTGCTCACATACACAACAGTATGCTCCCATTTTATAGCATTTCCCATCTCCTCTGCTCCTACATCTGCTTCAGAACCTCTGGCAGATAAAGAAATAGGTATCCACAGACATATCAGAAGGCAAAAATTAATGAATTCCTATTGCTTTCAGAATGGGCCTTGGGGAGATATGGTCTCCTCACCCAAAGAAGGAATCCAGAGATAAGAGGAGTTTCTCAGGAGCACATGAGAGCTTCCCAAGTTCACTGAAAAATCCCCAGAAGTGAGGTGGCTGCTGGGAGTGGGGGTGGGAAGCATTTAGGTTTATAAAGTTTCCTTTTGATTGTGTGCATTCCGATTAGACTTTCCTGTAAGGGGCAATTGGCTCTTGTTTTTGTCTTTTGAATCATCTAACAGCCTTCCATTAGGGGTGAAGTTTGCCCCTGACACAGCTCACAAACAGCTCTGCAGTGTCAAACTTCTCCATCAACACTGTCCATGGGAGAAAGCATACCCTAATGGATACACAAGGTCCTTCCAGATTGGCTTTGACTTTCTATTCTGAGACATACCTGGAGCCTTTTTCCTGTGGAAATGGTGGAAATGGCCACTGACTTTAAAAAATTAATGTTTATTTATTTTTGAGAGAAAGAAAGCACTAGCAGGGGCAGAGAGAGAGGGAGACAGAATCCGAAGCAGTCTCCAAGCTCAGAGCTGTCAGCACAGAACCTGATGCTGGGCTGGACCTCACAACCTGAACCATGAGATCATGACCTGAGCTGAAGTCGGGCACTGAACCGACTGAGCCAACTAAGTGCCCTATGGCCACTGACTTCCTATTGACTTAAGGCAAATTGCCTACCTCTTAGAATTTTATTTTCCTCTACTGAAAAATGAGGAGAATTACAACTACCTCACAAATGTGTTTTGAATATTAGAGATAAAATATATAAAAGAGATTAGCACAGAATGTACAAGTCTCATTTTAAAGATTCAATCAGTAGTACTAATTGTTACTATATTATTGATCACAGAAAATAAACCAGAAACTTAGGCATTATTCTAAATTCTTCCTTCTTTCTTACCCCTCCCCCATAGCCAGTTTCTAAGATTCTATCTGCTAAATTTCTCTAAAATCCATCCCTTTTTCTTCCCTGTCTCCACTGTTACAATCTTAGCAGATCTACACACACACACACACACACACACACACACACAACACACACACACACACACACACACACACACACACAACCTTTTTTAATTATTATGATTTCTCCTGACATATCATTCCTGATCTTCTCTACCTGGCTCACTGTTAATTAACTCTCAGCTAGGTATCACTTCTTCCAGGCAGATCCTGTGTGGCTCAGATGCCCTGCCCTGACATCTGTGCATAAATGGTATAGCCTATAGCACACATGCTGTTTTGTATCCCTCTGTTTTTTTTAATTTACCCTGTTTAGACTGAAAACTCAGTGAAGACAAGAATCAATCTCTGTCTCCAACACCACCCTAGAGCCTGAAACAAAGTAGGTACCCAATAAATGCTTACACCACATATGCACCAGAAACAAGTAGTGACTGATCTCTTTATATATTTGCTTGAATGTATTTTACAGCAAATATATGTGATATGTAGAGCAATACTATATATTCTTTTTCTAAATATGCATATCTCTGTACATCTATATCTAAGTACATATGTATGTATGTATACACACATATACCTCCCTGTATTTATAGAAGTATATCTACCAGGCAAGCAAGTTAACCTACCTACATGCAAGTTATCTATGTTTGTGGTGAAGCTTTTACTTTAAGGCCTAACAATCATAACCTGTGGGATGCTACCTGATGTCAGTATACCTATAGTGCAGATGAGACAATGGGGAGGAAAAAATGCCTTCTTAAAGAGCTCATGGGAAAACCTGACCCTGAAGAGAGATTGCCATGTCAAGAGAGTCAGATGAAGTTTTTCTTTGATCTATCATCAATGCCACTACTCTAGTCCCTCATACCTTCACCTCTTGCCTGGACTAATGCAGCCATCTCCATACTAATCTACATGCTTATTCTTGCCCTCTTCCCACCTAGTTTCCACACATGACCAGAATGGTCTCTTATTTATTTATTTATTTATTTATTTATTTATTTATTTATCAAGTATCATTAACATACAGTGTTATATTGGTTTTAGGTGTATAATATTCAAAAATTCAACAATTGAATATAGAATATTCAACAACTCTATACATTTCTCAATGCTCATGAAGATAAGTGTAGTCTTAACACCCTTTATCTATTTCACTCATCCACCCACCCACCTCCCCTCTGGTAACCATCAATTTGTTCTATTTCAGAGTCTGTTTTCAGTTTATCTCTTTTTTTCTTTGTTCATTTGCTTATTTATTAAATTCCACAATTTATTGAAATAACATGGTATTACCTTCTTTTTAAAAAATGTGAATTACATTCATGCCACTCTTCCTTGACTTAGACTACATCATTGGCTTCCCATTTTTAAAGCAGTATCCAAATCCCTGAACATTAATTACAAAACTCTGTGAGCTGCCTTCCTTTACAACCTCATCTCCCTTGTACTTCCTTTGTTACAACCCTTGTCACAGAAAATGCAATGTCTTATTTATGGCCTGCCTTTGAGCTCCATGAGGACAGAGAACATGTCTGTTCTGGCCTTCAATGGATCCCTCAACACACAGAACAGTGTATGGAACATGGCTGGTTGTTAAGCAGCAGAAGCAATCCAGGGGATAATCCCAGAATCAGGTCCCATAAATCACCAGGAAATCCATCCCCTTCCATCTTACCGCATCAATTTCGTTCAGGGCCTTCCACTGCTCATAAGGAACACCCAGGGCCTCAGCTGTCTGGATAGTCCTCTTCATGTGGCTGGTCCACACCTTCAGGGAGCTGATGCCCTGGGACTGAATGAAGTTGGCCAGGGCATAAGCATACTAGGAGGTAGGGGTGCAGAGAAGGAGGAGGGGAGAAAGAGAGAGATGAAAGAAGACAGAGTAGCTGTAAAAATAAACTCAGATCTACCACAAATGGTGAAATAATAATGAACAAGAAAGTATAATTTAAAATTTTTCAATTTATAAACAAGGATATGACAAGGATTAGGGGAATAGAAAAGGGTATGTGTGCTTATGTGTGTATATGTTTATATGTGTGTGTGTGTTCATTGATGCTTATTAAACCCCCTACTTGATTGTTCATTCAAACAGCCCAACTCTGGCATTTCTGGAGCTTAGGACAAGAGTACAAATGAAGGCAGTCCACAGTCAACCTCTCTTCTATTCCCATTTCTGCCTCCATCCTGCACTTTTAGATGCCTTGAGTACATGTTTGTACATGACAAAGTTCTGTCCACATCCTATCTCCACTGGTTCCCATGATCCACAAACAGTGACCCCTTGGCTATCCCTTTGCCTAGGGGTAAACACTACTGTGAAATGGTCTGCTCTCAGGTGAACAGACTCTGGGATAGGCCCATGCAGACATGGAAAATATACTCCAGTACAGAAGGACATCAGATTCTGGGTTCTGGATACTCACAACGTGGTCTAGAATTAGGGGATATTGGATTTGGGGAGCATTTCTTTTTGACCATGGGGGTCTCAGTACCCAGCTTCTAAGGGCATTCAAACATCCATAGTGTGTGTGGTCATGTGTGGGTATCAGGATGTCCTGTTCTCAAGACACAGTCCAGTGAGGAAAATGATGACAGCACTGAGAGGAACTAGGAAGAGCTGTGGGACCCCAAATGATCAAGTGATTCACTCTTCTTCTGCATTTAGGCATGTTATTAGTCACAGAGGGTGTGTGAGGAATATCAACACAAATGCAAAAATCTATATACATATGCATATGTACAAATATAGGCATTGTGTACACACATTCTAATTATGGATGTGAGTCAGCAGTGTTCTCTAGTGGAAAAAGCCTCGTAGCTCCTGCCTGTAAGATGCAAATAGCATTAACTCATCAGCCTGATTCTATGAGTGTCATGTTAGATAGTGAACAAGGAGCACACAGAATGCTCCCTGACACACACAAGGTGACAGACTCTATGATTTATTATGGATGACAGTCAATGGTAAAGTGCTTTGTAAACTGTTATGATTCACTGTTCCCATAAGCATGAAGATTGGTGCCAGGCATGTGCATGTATATGCACATGTTTGTGTACAAAGGTGATATGCATTGTGGAGGTGGCATGTGTCCAAAGTGGGCATTTTGCTGTGTAGGTAGGGAATTAGCTGGGCAGGGAAATAGCTGGCCCCAGCCAAAAGACTCTGGTTGCAGGTGGTGCCATGTGGCAGGGGTGGGTGATGCCACCAATACCCTCTATTCAGCTCTAAGGAGTGAGAGGGGTAGGAGTCAGAGGTTTGAGTCTACCTCAATGGGAGGTTGCCAGTCTGAAGGTAACAGAAAGGGAGCCATGGGCCTTCCAGTGCAGTGCCTTGCCTAAGACACCACCACCTCTGCAGTGGGGAATGCTGAGGGGCAGGCAGGAAAGCATGGTTTTCAGTCCTGGCTCTCTCTTTTACTGGCTGCATGACCTGGGACTGCTCTTTGCTCCTCCTTGGGCCTTAGCTTCATCAAGTTTCATAAACCATTAATGGTAATGCCCACCCCACAGAGCTGTGAAGATTAAATGAGGCTCACAGCAGATGGTGCTGTGACTGTACACAGGTGCCCAATAAAAGATAGTGTTCCCTCCCTCCTGCACCTCATTTCCCATTTGTCCTACCCAAGCCATCCTCCCAGCAAGAACAATAGCTGTGTTAACAAACCCAGGCACAGGGCCAGACACTAAGGAAAACATGTGTCTTTATTTTATTTTATACCCATAATGTACAGGTTTACTATGCTTGGCTGGAGAGAAGAGATTCATGCCACAGAGTCAGAGATGGGCCAGGACTGGGAGATATGAAGCCCAGGGCACAGTGACCTGCCTGGGAGGGCAGAGGAGGACAGGGGAGGGTTTCCTGGACAAAACCATGGAGCAGGAGCTATACCTTGGAAAGGGGTGGGGGATGGAGGGCAGGAAAAGAGCTGTAACTGGTAGGGGACAAGTTCTGACAGTGAAATAACCTGTAATGGGGGCTGGGGGCTGTGGCATCAGCCCTAAGTAAGGGGGGAGAAGATGGATTCAAGGATCCAGGGAAGCTGTCTGTGCAAGTGATGATGACCAGATGACAGAGGAGGGCAGGCTGGGTGGGAGAAATTGTACAAGCAAAGGCACAGAGTTGTGAGAAAGATGAGGGGACAAGTCAGGCAGGAGTGAAGTGTTCTAACTGTAATGGGGCTGGAGGTGCAGCCAGATCTGGGCAGGCCTTAAGTGCCAGGACCAAGTTATCAGACTTGCAGATGCTGTTGATACATGGAAGCCATTCAAGGTTGGGACAGCAGTGAGTGGATGATGGAGTAGAAGAGTGGCTGTGACCAAAAACTGCTTTTACTCTGCCACTGAGTCTCCCTCCCATCCTCAAGGCCCAGGCAGTGGCCACACCACCCACCCATGGCCCACCTGGGCCAGATCAGTCAATGCCTTGGATACATGGGGCCCTTCCTACCTGCTTGCCCCGAGCTGAGAGGCCAGAGTCACCTCCAATGCGGCCTCTGAGGTTTAGTTCACTCTCACCATGCCGGCATAGGTAGATGGAGCGGGGTGTGACATGGATGTTCATGAGATAGTAGACTGTGCGGCTCTGGATGTGGTCTTGCACTCGGTTCACCATGTAGCGTGTGCCCACATCGAAGATCTTGATGTAGGAGAGGTGGCTGGGCCAGCCCAAGCAGGAGCAAGCAGCTCAGGGGATGACAGTGTAGAGGTTGATCCCAAGACAAAACCCCAACCACACACCCTGCTTCAAGCTTCCTGTACAATGCAGCTTTCACCTAACTTTTTCCTCTAACAAAATGCCATGGCTTGCCCTGTTCTGGGTACCCATTCTAGAGACTAGGCTCTTGGCCACCCCAAAGAGCTCACTGCCTGCTACCATCTCCCCCTATCTCCTTTCCTCAGTTTCATCTTTTTTTTTTTAATTTTTTTTCAACGTTTATTTATTTTTGGGACAGAGAGAGACAGAGCATGAACGGAGGAGGGGCAGAGAGAGAGGGAGACACAGAATCGGAAACAGGCTCCAGGCTCTGAGCCATCAGCCCAGAGCCTGACGCGGGGCTCGAACTCCCGGACCGCGAGATCGTGACCTGGCTGAAGTCGGACGCTTAACCGACTGCGCCACCCAGGCGCCCCTCAGTTTCATCTTAATACAGGATATCTCCTAACATTATTTTTTTTACACTCCAGGCATCTGGGCTCTCTTCTCTGTGGTTCACACTCTTGACATACTCAGAGAAAAGCAGTAGTCCCCTGTGTCCCTGGCTGCCTTCCACATCTCACTGGAAGCTCCTCAATTGTCTATTCACTCTTTTAAATCTCAGGCTGAGCTCTGCATCTCTATTATTTAAGCCTCTGATATGATATATTGTATTTGACATTCTACAGGTAGCTACCAGATTGTGTCTGGGTGCACTTGTGTCTGTGTATATGCCTCTCTCCTCACTCAGAAAGGGAAAAGGATTGGGATTTCTCTCCCCATCTGTCATGCAGTCAACAAACACACCCTCTTCTGTTCTAAGCATTGTGCTTGAGGTGGTGACTCAGCATCTGCCCTTTGGGAGCTCTTAGGCTAGTCAAGAACACACACTTGGAAACGCACCATCAATGCTCAACACCCCTTCCATAAACAGTCATTTACTCATAGGTGTGCCAAGTATTGGGGTATGGGGATGCAGAGGCTCTCCACAGCATTAGTGGAAATCTTGTGGTCCTTGCTTCAAGCCCCTTTTTTATCCCCTCAATTCTGTGTTCTAGGCATGAACTAATAACTACACACAGAGTGATAATCAAACTACTCAACAACCTGTCTGCAGAGAAGCTGGGAATGGGCAACACACTAATCAGAACACTATAACCATGGAGTAAGTCTTCTGAGGACCCTGACAAACCAGGTGTGAATCCTTTAGTTGCTGGACTATAAGAGGTAAGATCTCTGGGAAGAGGTGGGGAAGGTTGCAGCAATGGGGTGACACACCAGCAACCCTGGGTGCACACTAACAAAACCAAGTAAATAGAAATAGCTGCACTACCCCAAATCATGTAAAGCAGTGGCTGAGGGGTTTGGTTTCAGAAAGCCTCTCCTCCGATTTTCCTAAAGAAGTCCTTTTTTAGCTGCTCATTAAGCATGAGCTTAATCATGCCCATCCCTGTCATCTATGTCCAGTGGTTCCCAAAGGACACTTGCACTTGCTGAGAATTTTCTTTTGTGCATTTTCTTTTGTCCCACTCCCTGGGGACTTCAAACTACATGAATCATTATAATCATTTTAGGACTCAGGGATTATTAGCTTCATTTTAAATTTTTTTTTCAACGTTTATTTATTTTTGGGACAGAGAGAGACAGAGCATGAATGGGGGAGGAGCAGAGAGAGAGGGAGACACAGAATCGGAAACAGGCTCCAGGCTCCGAGCCATCAGCCCAGAGCCTGACGCGGGGCTCGAACTCACAGACCGCGAGATCGTGACCTGGCTGAAGTCGGACGCTTAACCGACTGCGCCACCCAGGCGCCCCTATTAGCTTCATTTTATAGGAGAGGAAACTGAAACACAGAAAGAGGAAGTGATTTGCCTAAGGTTAACCTCTCCAACTATCTTGTCTAGGATCTCAGAACCTAGGGGTAGAAAATATCTGGTGTAGCTTTTTTGCCTAATTACTGACTGTTCCTGAAACTAGGTCCTGGGTGGCTCTAGGAGAACTTCCTATTTGCTCAGTTTAGTCTGACATTCCAGGTGCCTTCAAGCATTGGCCCCACTTGGCCCGACATCATGGTCCCATGACCTCACCCATGCCATGATTTCTCTGTTTCAATCTAGCTTTCATGCTTTTGCTGGAATATTCTCTGCACCCTCTACTTCATTCAGATTTAACTAGGCCATTCCAAAATGCTTTTCTCTTTGCTTGAAAAGGCATTCTTTGCCTGCTTTCCAAAGCTGAGCTCCTGTGCAACCATCCTTCAAGAGCCAGCACATTCACTCTAAGTTTTTGTTGAGTCTAGGATCATGTGAAGTCATTTAGAGGTGTTTCCCACCAAAAGTATTATATTAGTTAATGCCCACCTCTACCGTGTGTAATGTAAAATAAAAATTATAAACTGTATGATAATATGATAAGGTCCTATGAAATTCTGTTTTTTTTTCATCTTGATCACATTGATGCTGTTTTGGAATTAAAATATTAAAAAGCTTTCCAGATTTTTTTTGTTCTTATTTTTGGTAGCCTCCACCCTTCTGGTACCCCAAACATGTGTCTTTTCTACCTATACTAGGTAAACCTGCTCTTTCAGATTTTTTTTTCCAAACTGTGCTGGGTCTTCCCCTCTGTGTTCTTCTAGCCCACTTGGTTTATCATTTCCACAATTCTGATCAACTGCACATTGTGTATTGTCTTCTCCAACCAAGCGGATATTTTGTCAAAGCAGGGATAGCCCTTTATTCTTTGGATTCCTGGGGCACAGGTTTGGTTGGACCCTGATGCATGGGCTGTAAATGTCTGTTGATGTAAAAATGATTAAATAAAACCAACCTTCAGAATCTGTCACCTTCAGGCCCAAACTGATTAATAAAACACTAGCTGAACACCTGCAGGAGTATAGGCTGAAAGCTAGGGGCTTTCTTAATGCCATTATTTCACTTTAACTCCCCTTCTTCAAGCTTCTTTCACCACATGGTGCTAGCCTATATGGTGCATTTATGGACACTTGAAAAAGTTACACTGCCATCAGGGCAGAAACAGCCTCACCCCAGCACACATGCTTGGGGGAAAAAAGAAAGTGTGCCCTTGACCTGGTTGTCCTTGCACAGTGAACAATCTTTACAATTGTACATAAAGGTCTTGCTCCTTGCACTGAGTGTCTAAATCTGATGTGACACTTCTTTATGATTAAGGGATATGGGAGGGGGAGAACCAGTCTGGAAGTTTGAAGATAAGGGTTTGAATAAATATTCTACTGACTCATTATGTGGACTCAGGTAAGTCCTTGACCTGCTCTGGGTCTCAGTTTACCCACCTAAGGACTGAGGCAGTAACAATTCTTGCCTCATAGGACTTTGGCTGGGCAAAGCAGTAAGGCTGCTCTTTAAACTTCTTAAGGTTTGAATGACTATTTGAAGCCTCCTTATACTTCTCACTTGGGGGTCCAAAGGATATGGACGACCAGAGTCTCTGATCATCACAGCCCATTTTGAGGAGTAGGATTCTGGGAATATCCTATGCCCAAAACTCACACATTCCCTGTACTACCAGATAACATCTTTCTAATTTTTAGCTGGCATTATGAATGAGAGTTTCATATTTTTTATGTATCTTCCCATATGTCAAGTCATGATGGAAGCTACCTGAGGATAGAAACCACCTCTCTAACCATTATTTATACCCCCTATGTACACCACAGCCCAAAAGGGCAAAATACTTATTGACTGAAAAGGTACATGGGTTTTGTGAAAAGAGATATGAGTAGGAGACAAAATATATTGTTAGAATCTGAATTCTATCCCCTGATTTGTGCCAGAAGCTTGAACAAGTGGTTTTAGCTCTCTAAGACTCAATTTCCTCTTCTTGAAAATGTATGAACATAAGATCTATTTTGGCTTCCTTTATAGGGGTGGTGAGGGTATGTGATGAAACAAAGAAGGTGAACATATTTGGAAACTTAAGTGTCACCCATGTATGAGCAATAATTTTGAAAAAATAATAGCAAAAACCATAGGAGGGGGGCATTTGTTACCAGAGACCAGCATCCTGATCTATCCATATTGTTCAGGAAGGCACTACTTTAACACTTCAACGGACGTTTCACATATCAAGGAATCACCACCTCAGATAATTAGAACTTGGAGGGTTCTTGAAGACAAATCATCAAATCTAGCTCCCTGATTTTACAGATAGAGAGGTTGATGCCCAGAGAGGGAGGTTATTTTCCCAGGTCCTAAAGGACATGACAATAGGGTTAAGGATCCAGTCCTGGGCTTTAGGGTTCTGGGTTCTTACCTGTCCAGTTCATCATCCAAGGGTTGGTAGTTGACCTCATAGCACTCAATTCTCTTTAGAAAGTCTTCCAGAACCTTTTCCCGGTCACAGTCTATGTAATCAGGGCTTCCAAGTTTTACTTGCTAAGAAAAGGTAGAATAGAGGAACTATGAAAGACAGAGACTCTAACAGTGCCCTTTGGAAGTGCCCTTAGAAATCATTGAGTACAACATCCTTCATAACAAAAATGATAAAATTGAGACTTGGACAAAGGGTCTTGCCCAAGTTTACAAAGTCAGTCATTTGAAGAAAATTTGGACTGTGTAACTCCTCATTTCTTATCTCTATGTGATTAAACAAGGCCTGTTATATTGTACTCAGTTCCAGAGCACACACTGTTTAAGAAGAACACTTAAAAGAGGAGCAGAAATTGTGATGTGAGAAATGGATGAAGAGGGACAGAAGATTTTGGCCAAGGTTCATAATAGCTTACATGTGTTGAGTGTTTAATGAGAGAACATAACATGTTGGCTTTAAATTTCTGAAGGATTCACATCTCCTAATCCCCCAATGCCTATCTTCTCCACCCACATTTACTATCTCAGTGAATGGCACTATAATCCACTCAGTTACCTGAGCCTAAAAGGAATATAGGAGTCATCCTTGATGTGTCTTCATCCCCCACCTCTCAGTAGGCTGTATCTCCATGCCCCATCATCTTCACTCTATCTTCTAAATATCCTTCCTATTGATTTCCATTCTCTCTTGCCTGGATGCTTACTCTAGCTTTGTGGCTAATTACTCTTGTCTACAGTCTTGTTACTTCTGATGTATTCCTCAAACTAGTAGCCAGAAAGATATTTTTTAACACGCACATCTGACCATGGCATTTCCCTGCTTAAAACTGTGCACTATTTTCTTATATCTTTTAGGGAACAGTGTGAACTATTTCACTGGGTGACCCATTTGTCATAATTGAGCCCCAAATTATTTTTTCATCTTATCTCCCATTGCTCTCTCATTGCTTTGCTCTAGCTAACTTAAACTACTTATAGTTCCCTGGAGATACCATAATTAATATATGTTGTTCCCTTATATCCAATTCTTCACCTGCCAAATTCCTATGCATTCTTCAAGATTCAGGTCAGCTATTGCTTTCTTTGAGAATCCTTCCCTGATATACTCCTATCCCTCCCATGCAAGGTTAGTTTCTCAACAATGTTCTCCCACAGCCTCCTTTATTTATTCATCTCAGCACTGATCTTATAGTTATGTCTATGAACTCGCTGCTATCTCTCATTAGACTGTGAGCTCAAGGGCAGGACTCTCCTCTATGTCTCTAATACTCAGAATGGTTCAGTTCAGTTGTATAGATTCAATTCGTGTTGAATCAGTAAATGGGTAGAAGGCTGGATGAAGAAAAAAGGGATTGTAGATGTTCTATGCTCCAAGAAGCAAAAATAGGACCAATCAGTGAAAATTTCAGGGAGGCATATTTCAGCTTCAATTGACTGAATTTGATGAAGCCAATGAGTCTCTTGTCACTGGAGGTATGAAAAGAAAATATAGGCAAACATTTAGCTGAAATTACAACTATCTGAGGGAGGGTTGAAGGGGGTGACCTTTAAGGTCTCTTCTGTCCCCCAAATCCAGTAATTTCATGAAATAGGGGAAAGCAAAATGGGGTGGGCAATCCAGTTCTAGGCTATGGGCCTAGAATCTAAAGGCAGTTCTTAGTGCAATTGTGAATGGGATCAGTTTCTTTATTTCTCTTTCTGTTGCTTCATTATTGTTTAAAAATGCAACCGATGTCTGTACATTAATTTTGTACCCTGTGACTTTGCTGAATTCAGGTATCAGTTCTAGCAGACTTTTGTTGGAGTCTGTTGGGTTTTCCATGTCGTCTGCGAAAAGTGAAAGTTTGACTTCGTCTTTGCCAATTTTGATGCCTTAACAGAAGACCACGGGGGAGGGGAAGGGGAAAGAAAAAGTTACAGAGAGGGAGGGAGGCAAACCATAAGAGACTCTTAAGGAGTGAGAACAAACTAAGGGTTGACAGGGGGTGGGGGAGAGGAGAAAGTGGGTCATGGACATGGAGGTGGGCACTTGTTATGATGAGCACTGGGTGTTGTATGGAAACCAATTTGACAGTATATTATATTTTAAAAAATAAAAGCAGATATATTCTTGATACAAGCCTGAGCTCCAGTCCCAGTTCTACCTCTTTCTAGTTGTATGAATCCTTGACACGTGGCCTATCTTGGAACCTCTATTTTCTCTCTCCAACAATGAAATGATTCCTAACATGCAGGTTTGTTGTCACAAATCAGTAAGAGTCAAGCTTGGTGCCTAGTGCATGTTAAGGACTTTATATTACCTTGGCTTCTTTTTAAAAGTTTATTCATTTATTTTGAGAGAGAAAGACAGGAAGAGAGAGAGAGAGAGAGAGAGAGAG